GGGTATTATATGGGATTATGCTGTAGCATAGAAGTCTAAATTCTAATCAGGATTAGAAATGCACAGAATCCTTGCTTGGTTTCGAGGGTACAGATATTTGATATACGTAGAGGTCCGTGGAAGCCCTGGCAGGCAAACCCCTTTCCTTTCAGGCTTTATGCAAGATGTTACTTTCTGGGTTACTTCCATTATGGAAACATTGGAAAAAAGTTTCCAAGGCTTGAGGGTGTCAGCAGAAGAACCATGTGGAACTTTTCTGACTGTGCTCTAGGGCAATAGTTAACCTCAGAGTTCTGAGAATCAAAGTCACCCCAAGTCATTTATTTACCAATGTCAATACTTATAAATGATGCTTTCTTATAATAACAGGTAGATTTGAAGTTTCCCCTATAATAATGTAATTCTCATTTACATTCTACGAGGCTTCCTTGAGAGGAAAGGAAGGTGATCTGGGGATAGGGAATGCATGCGAACACTTCCACAAGTGAGCTCTGATTGTGACTGTCGTCCATAATCGACATTTCAGAGTGAAATAGGTGAGAAGTCGTATTGCAAGGTTTGCCTTTTAAGTCTTTCTGTTCTGTGCTTCCCTCCAAATAATATAAATTCTGGTGGCTGCATTGGACATGTTTTTCCTTTCCTGCTTGGTGTCAGCTATGAAAGGTGCTCAAGGCGTGTAGCAAGTGTTCTTGGAATGAAGAGGAGTAAACAAGCCCAGGAGCAGAAATAGAAAGGTGCCCTCACGGCTCTGGTTCTTTACTACCTCTAAGAATACAGAGGGATTTCCAGGTGCTAAACAAGTGAACTGGGTTAACGGAAGAATAAGAAAGTGGGATTTGTCTTATGGAGAAGTACAACTTCAATCAGATTAGTGGAGTATGGGGCAGGAGTGTAATGACCAAAGGCACACGGTGAGTCTGTGCCAACATCTGCAGACGTGGGGAGAGGAGCCTGACTGTCGTGAGCAGGATATGTGCTTTTATGAGTTCATTATAGGCCTTGCTCCTTTTAGAAATGGTTTAATCTTTGAAATGTTTACTTCTTTTCAAGTGATTTTCCAAGTGATATTTATAATATTTGTTTCCTCTTTCTATCATATAGCAAAAGTTGGTCTATTATTGCTACCTAATCTGGGACAGTTGCTTAAAAGGATATTTTAGAATATTGGAAACAGGGTCAGAATTTCAATTTTAGATTAATGAAGGCCTCCAGAGAAGTTTGGTTTTGAGACCTTTACTTTTTTTTTATTTTTGACACAGAGTCCCACTATGTCACCCTCTGCAGAGTGCTATGGTGTCACAGCTTACAGCAAGCTCAAAATCTTGGGCTTAAGTGATTCTCTTGCCTCAGCCTCTCAAGTAGCCTGGACTAGAGGTGCCCACCACAATGTCTGGCTATTTTTTGTTATTGTTGTTGTTGCAGTTGTCATTGTTGTTTAGCAGGCCTGGGCCAGGCTTGAACCCACCAGCCCCGGTGCATGTGGCTGGTGCCGTAACCACTGAGCTATGGGCGCCAAGCTGAGACCTTTATTTTTAAAGTAGGGGAGCTGAGAGTCAGGTGAATAAGTGCCCGATGTCACCTTGTCTATGTGATCAGACTTAAGCTCAGGCTTTGCTGGCTCGAGGCAATTGCTCTCCTTTTCCCTGACTTTCTTGGTTGACACAATTTAAAGACACTACCACTTTACTCATATTTTCCCATAAAGGTCTAATTTTGTCAATTTAATTAGTGAACAAATGCCAAATACATGCTTGAATTTTGTTGTCAGAACAAAGGCAGAATCTATCCATATTTAATTTGCCTGTATTTCCTATTTCGATCTACTAAAATAAATGAAGTGTTACTATGAAATATGTTACAGCAACAACCTTAATGTCTTTGAAAGAAAATACACATATTTCCTATGTAGCCTCGAATAGAAAACTTCAAAGCCAAGCTGTTTCAAGTTTAAGGAAGCACAAAAGTAAAAAATAAAGAAAAAGAACAACAAAAGCTTGTGGTGGTTGCTATAAGTTAATTTCAAAGCAGAGGCTGACACCCTGCAGAGCTGGCCTCTTTAAAGATAGCACCCATGTTAACACACGAAGCATGTCACAGACCTCTCCAATTCATCTTGCACTTGACCTTTCGGTCTGTGTGATTGATAATTAGGCTGAGGCAGTTTAAAATAAAAAGAATATGCACTTCCTGATCTTTGGAGTAAGAAATAATGCCAAATATCATGGTTGTTGACATTCCTGATAAGGCAGTGTCAGGCAGTGGTTGCAGCTTATGCTTGGGAGTTACACAGTCCCAGTCAAAGTCTCTGCTCTGATTTTTACGGTTGTTACTTAAACTCTGTCGCTCATTGTCTGAATTTGAGCATGTTACTTAACCTCTCTGAGACTTAATTTTCTGAAAAGTAGATTGCGTCTTGAGATTCCAACTTCAAATTAGACAATATAAGTGATATGGTACATGGCCGTGTCTGAAAACACATCCGATATCTGAGATTCTGGGTGCACGGGGAGCTCATGGGAATGCCTGAGATTCCTTGTTATTATCTGATGATTCTTCATTTTCCTGGTCATTCTTGTAACTGCTGCTTCTGCTTCAAATGTGGCTCAAATTATACACAGACAAGGCAACTTTTTATTGAAAAATTACATCTTACGTAACTATATCATAAACTATGTCAAATGCTTTCTTCCTTCTTTGATATTTAAATGACTTTCTTTACACCCCCCCACCCCCCAAGAAGCTCACAGCTCCACAATAGCTCTCAGGAGCTATGCGAGTCACATACGAAGACACAAAGGAGGTACAGGGTCAGTTTGTATTGTATAAATATATGTTTATAATTCACAAATTTTAAACATAGCTTTTGTGAATTATAAACATATGCTAGTTTAAAATTATGAGTTAAGCCAAACGAGTGCTGCCTTTGATAGAACACTTCTCGTCATTTGTAAATTTAGGGAATGTAATCACTTTTTAAATTTAATTAATTAACTTATTTTTTACTTGCAGGGTCAATTGAAATTCTGCACTTAAAGAGAAAAAGGACTAAGTGGAAAATGAGATGTGTGCCTGCAGCCGGCCGGGTGCCAGCTGCCTCATGACCCCCATATGATGGATGCCGGCGGCCTCTCAAGGGCCTCCCAACTCCACACCCCACCCCGGGGAGGTGGAAGGGGAAAACGAGGTAACTGAAATGATGCCAAGTACCGTCCTTACTCTTAGATCGGTCTTAGATCAGGCCGGAACAAAACAAAATGAGAGCTAACAAGCTCAGTGCTGTTATGATGCGGGCTAACAAGCTAGGTAATGTGACAAATGTTTGACTTACTCACTAACTGCCAGATCTGCTTGATGTGACCTTTATGTCACCCGTCCGCTAATCGGCTAAATCGCAAGGTTCGCTTCTGCGGAAGAGGTCATCGTGACCCGTGCTCGCTTTTTGCTTCTTTTGCCAACTTTCTTTTTGCTTTTTTTGCCAACTCTCAGCCCACCTGTTTGTCCTCTGCCAACTTTCAGACTAGAAAAGCCCCAGCTTCAGACCCCTCAATGCTCTCTCACTTAGTCTGCTTCAGACTTTGCTGAGACAGCCCTGCGGTTAATAAAAGACTCCTTTATGAAATTCTAATTTGAGTCGGTGGTTCTTATCTGACCCCATAACAGAAAAGCTAACTCCAGGGGCTAAATCTGCCGTGTTTTTTCTCACTCAGAAAATTTTACTTATGTATTAAAATTTGAAACAACATAATATTTAGATTTAAGAAGCTGGGGTCACACTTCAGCTTCATCACCTAGTGAGTGCACCATGGGTAAGTCATGGCTGTTGAGTTTACTCATCTGTAAAACAGGTGTGCTGCAGACCAGGTACTACCTCACACTATTCATACTTACATGAGAATTCATGAGACCATACATACGAAGGCGGCATGTCATAGGAAAGTCAGGGATTTAATGGCTAGACAGACCTGGATTCTATTCTCGATTACAAGCTGGACAAACTGTGTAAGCTTTTTGTTTTTCTTGTACAGACAGGGTCTCACTATGTCACCAAGGCACTGGCTAGTCACAGGTGCAGTCATCACACACTACAGCCTACAACTCCTGGGATTTTTCAAGGGACCCCCAGGCTCAGCCTCTTGAGTAGCAGGACTATAGGCATGCGCCACCACCATGCCGAGTTTGTATAACTTTTAGCAAGTTCTTTAACTTTTTGAATGTTAATTTCTCTTTCTGCACAGTGGACGCAGTAAGGTCTATTACCATGAATGCTGTGAGGATTTAATAATGCCATGTGTAAAAAACTTCCAACAGAAAGCCCTCTCTGAAAACTCTTTATCGGTACCATGGTTTATGCATGGTGTTAGACATAAATGTTTATCAGCCACATAAATGAGTCTTTATTTAAATGTATTTCACATATAGATTGTTAAAATATAAAATGATCTAAATTTCAAACTAAAGAAGATTGTTTAAATATACATCCGAACGTTGGAATACACTTCAGGGATGACTAATATTGTTATTATCATAGAAACATATTTGCCACGTATCGTTAAGGACTGAAAAATATAAAGCAACATAGATGGAATGTTATTTTTTTATAAAATAAAATTTGAAAAAAGTTTGGAAAATATATTTGACAACTATAATGAGATTATGAGTGAGTTTTTATTTTCTTTTTTGGATTATATATATATTATATATTATATAATTATATAATTCATAGCAACCTCCAACTCCCGGGCTTAGGCGATCCTCTTGCGTCAACCTCCTGAGTAGCTGGGACCACAGGCACCATAATGCCCAGTTATTTTTTGTTGCAGTTTGACCAGGGCTGGGTTTTAAACCGCCACCCTCAGTATATGGGGCTGGTGACCTACTCACTGAGAGTGCCGCCTGGATTATTTATATTTTTAATATGTGTGCAACAATGTTTCATTATGTGTGTAACAAAATAAAATATTAGTGTGCTAAATAAAAATAATAGAGATAGAGATACTGACCTCCTTCAGCTGAGCAGATGACCACGATTTGACTGAAAGGGCCGTCCCCTTTATTGTTATAAACGCCGACCTTCACTTCAAAGGGAGTGAGAGGGGGGACGCTTTCATCTCGATAAATGAATTTGGAAGCTTCAGAAGATGTCACCATTTTTTCCTTCCAGCCACGTGTGCCATTGGGTCTGAAAGCCACAATATAGCCAAAGCCTTCCCCATTCTGAAACTCTTCGGATACTGGCTGAAGAAGAAAAATGCAATTAATTATCAGCAGACTGACAAAACCCTTCACTTCTTCTAAATCCTTAATATTTTTTTTAATGGATAATTTATGAAAAGGAGAGTCTTAAATCCTACATTGGAAGTCATCATAGTATAATCACTTTGGAAGTTTGGGGAAACTTAAAAACATTAAAAGATGAAAAATTAAATTTTGTCAGATGGAATGCAAGAAAACTCTCAAGAGAATCGAAAACTCTCGAAGCGAAACAAATTTGCTCCAATTAGTCACGTATATGAAATGAAGGCCCTTGGATTCCACATCAGCATTTAACACTTTGGAGAAAACTGTCATATGGTCTGGTGGTCAGGAATATCTTGTCGCTGGCAATGCCCTGCAGAGCCCTTTGCACCACAGATCTGGGAGATAACGTTAAGATCTTCCCTCTAGTCTTCTTTTCAATTGCTTTGTGCTTCAGTAACATGCGAGGAAACTGGACTTGGGTATGTGTTCAAGATGGGTCTCAACTGCTCACCAGAGAGGAGTAACTGTGATGGACTCAGAGGAGAAAAGTTATCGCAGTGCTTGACCCATAGCAGATACCCAGTCAGGATTTGTTAAATATTTTTTCTTTTGCACTTTTACTTAAAGGAAAACTGTGTATCAAGTGTAGGAAAAGAAAGAAAACATATTCTTTATGGTTCATAATTATTGGGAAGGGCAATTTGACCTCAGTGAAAGTTAAATATTGGGAACGCGATACCTCCACACAACATCAAAAATAAGATATGATGCTTTGTTGAAGAAAAGGAAAATGGACAAGAGAATAGGACAGGCGATGTGTTCATGAGAGAGTTCTTTCTGGTAAAAGAAGTTTTCCCGTAAATTGTATCATCAGTCTTAGAGACTGTTAGAGATTTGCTCTGTTTTCTCTAACAGACATGCTCACCTCTGTATTCTAGGGCAGAGTTCTGTGAGCTGCATAGTTCTATTCAATAATAGTATTATTTAACATCAAAAAAGGAAGGTGACTTCATGGAAAACATGTGTATTCTCACACCCATTCACCTCCACTCTTCACCTTTGACAGAAGATACTTTGGAGCCCATACAACGAAACAGACAAAAAAAGTATATATCCATTTTGTAATCAAAGTCCCATTTCTGAACATTAGGGAAGGTTCTTAAAGTGTGCTGCAGGTTTCTAATTTATAAGAGGAGGGAATGCAGGTAACGTGCAGTATATTCAGGAGTTGTTAACTCCTCCCTCCCCACTGGTTTTAGACCCCAAATAAACCACGGAGACCACTTAATCATAAAACTATTAAATATCAAACTAAGCCATACAAGCACCCGAAGTAATTTGTTACAGGATGGGTTTTAATTATTCAAACTGTATTCTGAGATAATCTAGATGACAGGAAACTATAGCTTTGACTTGGAGAGAAGTCACCCGGCCTTGGTGTGAAAATGAGAAGATGTCATTGGGCTGGACTCGTCAGGGTCACGCACGGTCAACATGTTCTAAACCTCATTCAAACACAAGTGTGCCCCGTCTCCCATGCCAGCAGCAGACACGGTCAGTGCAGCCCTAGGCTCTCAGCTTCACCAGCTCTGACCTGGGGGTACAGGCGTCTCACCTCCCAGGCAATGACTAGCTCGTGCCGCCTTCCGCTTCTTCCGCTTACGTTGGTGGGCGCTGTCTTTGGAACTGTGGACGAAAATGGTGCAGAGTGAGGAGAATAAACAGCTCTGTGCCATTGCCTCACAATAGTAACACATCGTGACCCATGAAGTTAGGTACGATTTTGAAGCAAGTCAAAGGTTTGTTTGAAGTTAGAACGGTTGCAGTTTTGGCCAGGGCAGGGTTTGAACCCATGACCCCTGGTATATGGGACTGGAGTCCCACTTCTTGAGCCACAGGTGCTGCCTACTTGTACTAAATCTTAAAGTGGAATATTTAAAACAGATACCCAGCTGTCACTCCACGTGGCAGAATTTGACACCTGGATTTTCAGGACCACTTCCCCCACAATCTAGCCCTGTGAATCCGCTCTATGGGAGCAATGCCTAAATCATAATTAGCACCGTAGGTGAGAACCTAAAAGTCAGGTATATTTTGTTCCTCAAAATGCTCTTTGCCAACCCTTGTAAGTCCCTAGAAAATCTACAGGTCAAGGTTAGGATGACTGTGTTTCCAGAACCCCCAGGAAGTTCCAGTTTAAAGAAATCTCAGCAACAATTCCACGGGGTGAGAATCTACTTAAATGAATAAATATATTAAAAAAAACTATCAAGGATGAATCTCTCTGAAAACTGCAAAATTTATAGGCACCCAGTGAAACTTTTTCAAATGAATAACTATTAAAAGAATAAACGTGTCAAAGGAATAAATTTCCTCTTCATTGCACTGAACCACAAAATCTGCAGTTGAAAGGGAACATTTTCAAATGAAGAACTGTTAAATGAAGAAAACTATTAAAAGAAATCATTTTCCAGGCGATGAGCCTGCATTAGCAATTTTACACTCCAGCGTTGCCTTTCCATCGTAGTGTATAGTTTTTAAACGATATTGATGTACTCATAAACAATAAATCCACTCCCGCACATTACCTACTTGGATGAAAGGCTATTAATTACTCGCAGATACTCACACAGCATTTTATATACCAGGAAAACTGAAGTGGAATTTATATACTACAGAAAGGAAAAAAACAAATTCTCCTTGGGCTAGGGAGGTAGACGAGAAAAACCTGTGAATATATAATTGGCTACATTGAAATAAATGACCTTTCCTTGCCAGGGTTCAAGTTTCAGTATCGTTGGGCACTTTTTTCCATCAACTGAATTCTTCTCTTACTTGTGCCTATGTAGCCACTGCAAATATAAAGATTATTCAGCGGCAGCTACTAATCCTTTTTTCTTTCACAGCTATGTACATTCTGAAGATTATCTGTACATATGGTTAATTCTTATGGATTCCCTCAGAATTACATGGAGTTGGACACCCTTTTGTCTCTCATTCAAGGAAATCACATAGAATTCAACTGAAAAATAAATGAATTCTATTAGCACAATAACTGTGAATATGCCCTAGTTTATATGGCCAGCTAGTGACTCATTTATTCATATGAGTTTTTTCTTAGTAGCCATAATTGTTGCTACATGTAACAACCTGTAGCATATCAGTAGGTCATGTCTGACACCATAGCTGGAAAACCACCACGTCTAATGTACAGTATTAGTTCTAAATTTATGTTCTGGCCTATGGTATGGGTAAGCCACACAAGAAGGGAGCTGGTGTAACTGTATAAGTAAAATCCAAGGTTACAAATAGGCCATTGATGCTTATTCTCAGAGTTCAGAATATTGGGACCACCAGTGTATAGTAAAATGAATAGTGGAAGCAGGGTGATTTGTAGATATCATGCCATTAGGTCTTTCCTTAGGACCTTTTTGTAAAAAAATGTGTACACATACATACACATACCTTTCACATTTATTTCTGACAACTTGCATTTAAATAACGTTGTGAGCAATATATACAGACCAAATATGCTGTCTACTACATTGCACAAAGTTTATATCCTAAATATAAAACCTTTGAATCCTCTTCTCTGAGGAGGTCATTCTGTGATCATGGGTTTCTATACAAAGATCAGGCATTAAAGATTCTTTTTTACTTTGTTCATCCCTAAAACATCATTTAAGTGGAGGGCTTAGAAATTTGAGATTAAAGTTGTAGAATAGGTTGTAGGCTATTTAGTGGACATCTCTGGAAGCCTTTTAAAAGATACAAGCAGAAGGAAATATAAGTAAATATTTGAAATCAAAACCTTTGAAGCTTTGGTGGTATTGTTTCGGTCTATTAATGCTTTTATTTTGTAGAAAACATTTAGATCTTTCAAAAACTATAACTTTTTAAGTAAAAAATAAATAAAAACTGGTTAATGTTTTGGTGTAAATTTCCACTTTGAGGAACTAAGAAAGCAGAAGAAGGCTTATTATGATTTGATTCATGTCTGTGTGGGCAACTTCCACCTCAAATTATCCATAAATCAAGTAAATTCTGTAAAATTTAGTATTTACAATTAGTCTTTGAGGTTTTCTTCCTGTTGCTAGTTTCTTTACAAGACAATATAGCCCATAGTCAACTTAATGTGAAGAATTTAATATCTTCCTTTTCTCTAGTTTTACTGTAAATCACACAGAAAGAGGTTTATGGTTCATTGTGTTTTAATAGTATTGTGTATAAGAGACAACTACTCTTAAACTTAAACAAAGCTTACTAGATACCCTAAGAACTACTAATAGCAAATTTAAGGCTTTAATAGCTGCACGTGAGTTTTGTTGAGCTGGGCACAATGTTTGGATTGGGTATTTTAATTCTAATTGGCTTAAATTTCTGAATTACATGCAGAAGATCTGTGGAACCCATGCACATTCGTTTCCTTTTCAAGTTGGTGGCACACAATTATTACCCCTGACGTCAATGCTTTGGAGACCACTGATTTTAATGACATCCCTTTATAAAACAACATATTAATGATATGGAGGGCTTTGACTTAATCATTCAGAGCTATTTTGCTGTAAAAGGTCTATAATTCTTTTTAGAAGCATAAAGTTAATGTAATCAAATACATAAAAAATGTGTATTGAGTTCAGAAAAATATATATTTACTTAAAAGCCAAATGTATTTTCAATATAATTAGCACAAATCCTATTTAGCATATAGCAGCGAGGCCCTTTCTCCCTCAGATAGCTACAGATAAATGTCATGAACATACTTGCTTAGAAGCAAGTTTTCACACATGGTTGGCAGGTTGAACTCTGATTCTTCCGAATTTCCTTCTGAGCAATGCTCTTCCGTTGGCAGATAATGTAATTGATACTTTGCCACGAGCTATAGATGCTTAGCTCTTTTAAGTCTTCCCTGGAATGTTGAAATCTAAACTGTTGTCTCTTTCCATCTCGATCGTTGGAAAAATTCTTATAAACACTCAGTATGACCAAAATCTAATGTACTTCCTTAGTTTAAACATGCCAAATGTGGAAGAACTCTACATAGAGTAGCATGAACAAAGGGAGTCAGACGAAGGATGTGCTCTGATTACCTTTCATCTAAACAAAGAGAACATGATGACATTGTTTACCAATTTCTTTTTCTCTGAAAAATTTCCAATTTCTATTGCGGTAAATGTTTACATGGCTGAATAAATAATACAGCTTTATTAGAGACCGGGACAGGCCATGTAATTAGGAGCTTTACGGTTAAAGTTGCAGCAGAATACAAATGGGGGTGGGGGGGTGGGGGGGAGTTGTTTATAGTGTAAACACCGAGGTCAGGAGTGACATTTATAAAATGATTTTTTTCTACCCAAATTGAAGTGTGGAATACATAAGTATTTTAATTAATTTTCATTTAAACTCAGTTTATAGAAAGAGGTAAATTCAAAGAATTTCAAAAATTAAAAAAAATGTCAGTAGTATTTTCCAAAGTTTTCAGATAATGCCTTTATTCTCATCAAAAGACTAAATCAGTGGTATGTACAAATGGTGAAGGTGGGAGTAAGATTTGGGTTCGAATCTCATTCTATAATTCTAACTGAGCATTTCCTGTCTTTCAGTTGCTTCATGGAGATAGTAATTGTACTTTTTGAGGTTATTTTCTAATTATTCATCACTGTGCCTAGAACTATCAATAAATGTTACCTAATATTATTATCTACTTACATTTAAAAAAGGGAAAATGGCGAAGTCTTCTTTGAGGAAAACTGACAGTTTAGCATAAATCTATATGCATGTGATCTTGAAATACAGTATCTTTCTTAGCTACGGTATTTGGATAATATTGTTTAGTCATATCATAGGAATGATGCTTTCAGTTTTGGCAAAGCTTATGTTAATTTTGAAATCTAGAAAATATACCATTTTCAATTTGCAAAAGAGGTTGCTAAGATATATCAGGAAGTGTAAGAATTTTCTAATTTATGAAACTTTTTATATATAACAATAGTCAAGAACATAGAAGTTGAGAATATACAAAAGACAGGTTTGTACCTCAGCTTATATTATCTTTATTTGTATGGGTCCACAGGAAACTGAAACCGAGAATGGGTAAAATAATCTCTGCATGAGATTTCCTGGTAAAAATAAGAGACGGGAAAAGGTAGAAAGAAGTAGGAGCCGGCAGGGAGAGGAGAGAAGCTCAGAGGTGTCATCTTTGGAGAGGCCTGGGTTAGGATTCCAGTTCACTAGGTGACCTTATGCAAGGTTTAAAAATTTCATAGTTCTGTTTCCTCACCTGTAATCGGTGGATAAAGTGCTTTAGAGGTTGTTGTAAAAATTAAATGGTATTGTGAAGGGCAAGCGTTTGGCGCAGGGCCTGGACCGTGGCTTGTGATTTATGACTGGCGTATGGTATCACGACGTCTAGGAAGATAGAACAAGTCTCCCTGAGTGTCTCACATCCATTCTCACGTTGATAACCTCTCATCGGCCTTTTTTCCTTCATGCTCTCCATCACTTTTCCCCTCATCATTTCATATTCATTGAACCCATTGCAGCAAAGAGAACTACTTGTCAGAACAGGACATCCCTTGCCAAGGCCAGGTTTCCCTCAGAAAGGCATTTGTTTGAATTACCATCTCTGCTGACAAACTGCCTCTGAAACTGAAGACCTATTTCCTGAATATGTTTTGTAGAAAAGC